AGAGACAAAGCCCCACGCACTACCACCGCACGTCGTCACAGGAGGGTGAAGCACCAGCCACGACACAGGATGCACTTTTACTTGCAGAGCCGAAGCTAACCATGTACATACAACATGTTAGAGAGCGGGGTTCGCTAGGAACCCGGAGCTGCTGGCACCTGGAGGGCGGGCAGGAGCTGCCGGCGTCCTCGCTAGCCCGCCGCCGGGGCCGCTCAACCCCCGCGCTACGCTACCGCCAGAAATTAAAGAGCACAAGACCAAACACCGAGTAACATCATAGTCATCTAGCCCGTTGCTATATATCTGACAACTTAAATAAAAAATAATATCTTGGCAAGAAACCAACAATATCATTCCAAGAAGGTTATACACATCCTTAGCAGTTACTTTGCTCAGCACGGCCCTGGTGCTTTAAATATGGAACAATCAAACAATTTTGTGAGCAGAAAAGTGACACAAAATTATTCTTTACATGATTTTTTTTTTTCTCTTTCTAGGCAACTCTACAGACTTCAGATCTTTTGCCTCGCAATGCAGATCATCTCATTCCCCCAAAAGGTGGCCAGGTTCTTTAAACATGCACATCCCTGTAGCTTCCAGGCCGTGTATTTTACTTATTTTTGTTTAAATTCTGCAGACTAGCAGGTCGTCCCCATTCCTAAAAACTCTACGTCAGTGTTCAGGGTGGCCTGAGTGCCAGTCAGGCTCCTCGAGGGTTTACAGGATCACGCAGAAGAACTTCTTCTCTCTAAAGGGGTTTTCTGAGGCCGGGACGGGGGTCAATAGAGGGTCCTCCTTGGCGTGGGCTTCGCAGTACACCATCAGGTCTGCTGCCGCTTTTGACACCTGGAACAGAAGGAGCCCCGTGTTAGGGACAGGCTGCGCTGGGGACATCCCATCCCGAGAGATCCCGCCGGTGGGGCTGGGCTCGCAGCATCCCTGGGCAGGTAGCCTCACACCCTGGCCAAAGACCCGATCGGTGGGGCTGGTTTTTCCCCCTCCGGGCTCGAAGCTCCCCTGTCGGCGGATGCTTCATCCTTCGCCCACCCGCATCCTTCACCCGACTCGACCGTAGCGAGGACCAACTTCGGCGGGCGCCGCATCCCTGTCGTCTCTGCTCCCACCCCTCGGCAGGGACATCCAGAGCCGCTACAGCAGCGGTCGCTGCCTGCAGCCACTGACTGGGCTATTTATTTATTTATTCAGGGCACGGCAGCAGGTCCTGATCTGTGGGAGCTCACCCTGGCCCCGAGACGAGAGGTTGTTCTTACAAGCACCCAGAGGTGCCTGCAGCCGGCCCTGGAGCACCTCTCTCCCTGGCACCGGCTGTCACCCCAAACCCCCGTGGTGCAGAAGAAAAATCCCGTGGGATTTTGAAGCCGAGGAGTTTTTGTGTGCCCAGAAGTGGAAGCAGAGGAAGCACCTCCCAGAACGGACTGGGCTCTCCGTAGGAAAGAGCCTTCAGGACAACGCTGCCTTCAGGGTTTCCCTGCTAAATCCGGGCTGAGCGCCGAGCACTGCCCAAAGGCCAGTTTTAACAGCAAACAGCGTGGGTTTAACCTGTTCCCAAGAAGGGGAGATGCTTTGGGGAGAGCCGCTCCTTCCGACC